AATGCCAAAGGTAACAGAAATTAGCATCTTTCCATTTTAAAAGGTAAGTTTGTTTCAGACGGGTAAATTTTTATCATCGAAATCAAAATACGACCCCACTCACTTGTTCTGGTTAAGACTTTACATTCTATTAAGTTGTTACCATTCTGATCACATGAAGCCTTGTGCCATTAATAAGGCCCTTTTTGATGTATTAATATTCCTCATCAATAAAACCACTGCCCCCTTTTATTAGTCTAATCTGTGTCTTGGCAATCCACTGACCTCTATATTTAAAAACTCAGTTGGATTTTCTAGATGGGTGTCTCCGCCTTCGTCTGTTTTCAAGGACCCACTCTTCTTCCCCTTGGTATACTGACAATTAATTACCTGACTTGTCAAGTTCATGTAGTAATTCATTAATACTGTTAGTTTATAAAGAAAATGAGATAAAAGTTACTTGGCTTGGTGCTTTCATAACTGCAAACTCAAAATACACCCACAAGTAAAAAAGAATCAAGATATTGGTTAAAAAAAAACTATGTTTGTGTAATAACATTATTCACATGAAGTAGATGATTTGTTTGATTTGTCGATCAGCTGTTTAGTTTCAAATTAATTAATAATGTCAAAGATTTGTGATTTAAATACATAAATTATTATAGTAAAGTTTTCTAAATCATGGTAACTTATTCTCCACTAAATTTTACTATTCCCAGCATTAAAATAAAGTAGTAAGATCCATTATGGGTAAACCTTAAGGTACACAATCCTTGATTGAAATGTAGTAGGTATACATTAAGAGTCATAATACACAGAAATTATTATGTAGTAGACTTTGACTATTTTCAAGTAACAAACATATGTTTCTGTAAATAAAAATTATCTCCCAGGTTATCCTTATGGAGAAATACAAAACTTTAAAGGGCTCCAGGGCCTCAATCTCTCATTATTTCCCTAAAAAGAAAGTTTCCTGCACAACTTCACGTTACCCTCTTTCCAATGACACCAAAAACATGTCAATCGGTTCAGTAGTTTCAGAGGAGTAATTGTCACAAAAAACCTGCTTGCGTATTAAATAAGTACTAGTGTCCCTGTTGCTCGAATTCGAGCAATTGCTAAGTACTACAGGCGTTATTATAAAACGAATAACAGTCATAATTTCTGATGACTCTAAAAAAATCGACTCAAAGATTATGGAAATACTCAAGATGTACATTAAAGATCGATATAATCAACATTTCTTGTAAATATCTTATTATTTTTCAAAAGCTGATCTTGTTTTTTAGTGTTTTCTACAAATAGCCTTACTCATAGCCGCATTAGGTTGTCCATAATTATGATTATAAAAAAAATATTATTTTCATTTCTTCTCCTTGGGTGTGTTCTATGACTTTCCTATGTTTCCATAGTTTGCAAATCGGCTCTTTCAATGATTACTAAGATATGCAGCACAGTGTTAATTCAGTTTTCTTTTTAGTATATAAAATTATCTGGGCTCTTTCGTTTTTTTCCAATGTAATACTTACGCCAACCCAAATTGACATAGTAAATATTTTATTTCAAGCAAGTCAGTAAATGTTTGTAGCAAACTGTTAAATTCACAAACTTATTGACTTTTTACAATTAACATATGTTCTTCTTCTCACTTTTAATTTCTGACAACAGCTGGAGTTTCATAACAATTTTGGTTCCCATGTTAATCTTATGGAGAAATACGAAACTTTAAAGGGCTTCAGGGCCTCACTCTCTTATTATTTCCCTAAAAAGAAAGTTTCCTGCACAACTTCACGTTACGGTCTTTCCAATGACACCAAAAACACGTCAATCGGTTCAGTAGTTTCGGAGGAGTAATTGTCACTAAAATCGTGCTTGCGTATTAAATAAGTACTAGTGTACCTGTTGCTCGAATTCGAGCAATTGCGAAGCATTACAGGCGACTCAAAGATTATGAAAATACTCACGATCTACACAACAGTTAGATATAATCAAAATCTTTTGTAAATATCTTATCTTTTTTCAAAAAGCTGATCTTGTTTTTTCATTGTTTTTAGTGTAAAAATAACATTTCTATTTCTTCTACTTGGTTCTGTTCTATGACTTTTTCTATGTTTCCATTGTTTGCAAATCGGTATTTCAATGATTGCTCAAGAAATGTAGCACAGTGTTAATTCAGTTTTATTTTTAGCCTATATCAAACTGTCCAGGATTTCTCGCTCTTTTCCATTGTAATAATTACATTAACCCAAGTTTTGTCTACATATGCAATATGCCAAAGAATATCACCTACGTACAATCTCCAAGAAGTGGTAAAAAAGGCAGAAACCAACCCATACAATAGATATAAGTTAACTCCATAAGAAATCATTTTAAAAGTTACTGTGATATTAGGATTTTCCACTGATTTGGTAATAGAACATTATGCAAAACATGACACGATGCAGAAGGAAATCAATTTTAAAATCAGAAAAACCCATTGCAAATACTGTACTTCATTTTGACAAATTCAATAAATCACAATTTAAATATAACAGCTGGTTCATTAAAAGTAGTGTAAAATTATCCATATGCTCGAAATGTAAACAAAATTACAGAGTGAACTTTAAAGGCCTCTGAGGCAGAGCCCCAAGGAAATTTACCTTGTTTCTCTTTTGATGGCTCATCTACAGACCAATACCTTTCTTTAGACACCCCTACCAAGCTTCTACGGCCAGCCGTTCTCTCAAATTAGCTGTGACAAAAACCTCGTTTTCCTCCATAAGAATAACATGGGATGGGAATTTAAAGGCCACTGGGGCAGAGCCCCGAGGGAATTCTCCATGTTTCTCTTTTGATGGCTCATCTACAGACCAGGACCTTTCTTTAGACACCTCTACCGAGTTTCTACGCCAAGCCGTTCTCTCAAAATAGCTGTGACAAAGAAAAACAGTTTCAAATTAATATATAGATTCCCCCATGTTAATCTTATGGGAGAAAAACCAACTTTGATGGAAGATCCTGCCCAAACTAATAAAGATATCAAAAAACGAAAAACACTTTGCAAAACTACAGATCAGGGCAACTTTTTTGACACTTTAATCATCAAAATCGGTCCAAAAATGAGGGAGGAGTTCTGTTCACAAAAATCGGCTTAGCGTATTATATATATAGGGAGAAAAACCAACTTTGATGGAAGATCCTGCCCAAACTAATAAAGATATCAAAAAACGAAAAACACTTTGCAAAACTACAGATCAGGGCAACTTTTTTGACACTTTAATCATCAAAATCGGTCCAAAAATGAGGGAGGAGTTCTGTTCACAAAAATCGGCTTAGCGTATTATATATATAGACTAGCTGACCCGGCGAACTTCGTATCGCCTAAGTTATAGGTTTCCCCTAAGACAGACCGATGGAAAACCCGGCAGACGTTGTCTGTTGTCTTGCCTTTGACTATTTTTAATTTAAGTACCGTTACGTTTAATTTTCAAGATGATCTCGTTCGCATCGCTCAACCACGTCCTGGTTGAAGTTCGTTCGCTACGCTCACTCACCTTTGGGTTGGAGCTCGTTCGCTACGCTCACTCACCTTTAGGTTGGAGCTCGTTCGCTGCGCTCACTTGCCTTCAGGTTAGATGTTCGCATCGCTCAATCACGTCCTGGTTGAAGTTCGTTCGCTACGCTCACTCACCTTTGGGTTGGAGCTCGTTCGCTACGCTCACTCACCTTTAGGTTGGAGCTCGTTCGCTGCGCTCACTTGCCTTCAGGTTAGCTCGTTCGCTACGCTAACTCGCTTCCAGGTTGAAGTTCGTTCGCTACGCTCACTCACCTTTTGGTTGCAAATTAGCTGTTGTATAGTGGAATACAAACAAGAAATAATAGTGCTGCACCCTGTTGGTAATCCTTGTAACATTAATGCTATTGAACATCATAGAACAGAACCAACTTGTTTAATTGAAACAGCTGTTAAGATTCATTAATTCCATTTCTCATAAGGTTAACATGGGAAACTCCAGAGCCACTGGGGCGGAGCCCTTTTAAGAATTTCGAAACGGGAAATAGTTTACTTCCTATTCGCATACCTACAGAATTTACACACCAAATTTCATAACGATCGGTGAAGTCGTTCCGGAGGAGTTTGCAGACAAACACTGTGACACGAGAATTTTATATATTAGATTAGATATAGATAGATGTTCCCAAACCTTTCCAAATTTCCAAATTCCTGCAACCATACAAGTATTTAAATAGTTTCCAAGGAATATTTGAAATCGTTTTAAGGAAACGTCGATTTTATTTAGTTTCTTAATAATTGAGATTTAATACAATTGACGTTTAACCAAGTATTTGCAAAAATAATTCATTTTTCAATTTAAGATATTTAATGGAAACTTGATTTAAAACGTAATTACTCGAACATATAAAATTCATAATATTTACAAACAACTATTCCACCACCAACTAAATTTATAAGACAAACAATTTTCTTACAGAAGACTTTTTATTGCTCCTACGTCCTACTTTGTGATCAAGATTATTTTAGAAAGTTTCTTAGACTTGTTAGAGTTATCGTTTATGCTAACTTTCCTTTATCATACAAAGTCGGTAACTACAGCATAACCAAGAATCGATGGTAAACTATTTGTTTCCATTGACATCTATGTCCATATTCCCACAAAGATGTTAAGCAAATTAAAATTGACTCATTCAATGACTTTACATTTCGAGTCATGAGGTTAATCACCAAAACTAAATTACTCATCTGAGACATTTGGTGCTTCGACTGAGGCCACCTACTTCATTATTCCAAACCAATAGTTCGATTATAGTTACAAAATATTTCCAAATTTAGAAACTAACTTATCGAAACCACGTATAATTTCTTCGCATTGACCACACTTTTTAACCCCATTGCTTAGGCTTAGGAAGCAAACCCACCACATTTTTTAATGCCAATCTTGAATACCTATGTCATACCTATTTATCTTATTATACAATGGCTTAATCATTAAAATAGTAAAAAGACCCTGTAATTGTTCCAGGCTCCATGCTGAGCAAGCCCTACCAGCAGTTTGCAGGGACTGTTCAAGTGATGAAGGCAGTCCAAACCCACATGGTGCTTACCTTCTGCTCTCCCAACCAGAGCCACTACACCATCATCCTGGCCAGGAACAACCGTCTGGGCATGGCGGACATCAGAGGAGTCAGGAACCTCCTGGGACGCCGGGGGCTGCCTCAGGTTGGCATCCGAGAGACCTGCAAGGACTCCGCCCCTCTGGCTGGCCCTACAGTTGTACTTGTGTTGTTGTCGGGAGTGGTCATGTTGATCAGTCGGAGTATCTACTGACGTGTGAAATCTTAGTTGCAAGTGAAGTTTTAGGTTCAATTTGGTAAACTCGTGAATTGACCAAGTTGGTAGGTACTGAGAATAGTCATAACGTGTGGTTGAAACTGCTAAAACAGTAAGGAAAGCGAATGTTATGAAAGGAGTTTTAACTGTACTAAATCATCATGACATATATATGTGAAAGTGTCAAAATTAAACATAAGCCAACAAATAGTAATTTATAACTAATTTTATTGATAACATTTGAGTAAGCTCCCTTTTTGATGATGAACCCTTTTTATAAAAACAAAACTAATTTTTAAAATATTCAAAAAAGACTGTTATTTTTCACAATTACTTACTTATTAATTACTCACAAAGTTTTGGACACAATCATTTGGCTGTCTATGGACTAAATAATCATTTTACTCGTATTATTTAGACGTTTGCATTTGAAGACTAAAAAATTATATTTATTGATGTAGTTATACTGTGTATATAGAAGAATTAAACTTATAGACTAGGAGTTAAATATGAAATTATCTCTTATATTTTGTTAGATCTTTAATTGAACTAGTTTCGAGTATAGAGTATAGAGCGATAAGATGTTCAAAATATTTCAATTAATGATTTTAAGAATGTAAAAAATAAATATAGTGTATAGATTACCCCCCATGACAATATAAGGGAGTTTCAGTCTTATATGTTTACATTATAACAAGTTTTATTTAGTATGCTACTATTTTCTACAATTCTATATTTTATTATGTTATTTGTTTTGTTAATTGAACTATGAATGATAATTTTTACCTTATAGGGAACTTTCGACTATAATAACCAAAATAATGGACTAAATAATGCTAAGATATTGCAAAAATACATTATAATCTTGTTATGTTGCTAACCAATGTTAAAAATGTGCCAAAATAGCTACCAAAGGAATGGTGGTGTAAAAAAAACATCCACCATCGTTGTTGATTATTTCTAATTCTGTTTATAGATCAAGTAAAACTTATATTGTTTAGACGAATACCTTACGAAATGTTACTGAGTGTTGTAAAAGTTACCTGTATAATGTTAATTGTTATTGCCCGATTTGTTATATCTCTGCTACAGAAGTCTTTCAGGGAGCCTTAGCAGCTAAAAGCTAATAGTTACTAAAGCTTGACCCACCTTCAGTTATGTATTTATATTGCTTTTATAACTGGAAACTACTAAAGCACAAATGTATTTATTTATGTAAACTGTTTTCTCCTTCGAACTAAATCAATCAATTTGTTCAATCAAATACTTATTTTGGTAAGATGTAACGCTTTGCATTAATGATTTGGACGCTTGAACACCCATTCCGTTTGCCTGCACTTTTCAAATATTTAAAATATGAAGGATTTTCTTAAAATATTATATCTAGAGTGATGCTACCTTAAAAGTGTGGTTGATGGACCAAAACCATTGTATGTAAATAAGTAAAAGTTTTATTAGCATTTACGTATATGTAAAACTTAAAAGGTTGTACGAACAGCTTTTTATAAATAAACTTATACTTTTTAGATAGACGTATTTTTCATGTCCTTTGTACTTCAACGTTATTAAAAACAAAGGTTGGCTGGTGTTAAGGATGTAGGAAGGCTTTAGCCCTGGATACATGTGATCAATACTAGCCAATGTTTTGGGCTATTGTATAACGTTTTGGAATGGTGGTCCAAAGCTCACCTTAAGCTGATGTTACCTACATAAAAAACAAATAAAGATAACCCTCTTATATGAGGAAGAGACAAGAAGAGAAGAGACTTATCCATTATACGCCATTTTGGTTTTGCCAACAAGAAAGTTGATGCTGGAAGCTTTAAACTGCTTGGAACAACTATTGCAAACATAAAAGATAAATGTTTTATTTTTGGTAATTTGTTACTGAGAACTACTTGAAAGTTTTGAGAGACTGTTTTTACTCTTTATGTACTGCAATGGCCATAAGTAGTCCTATAATCTATATTATTATAAAATCTGATGATGTCCTTCTGTGTGTTTGCATGTTAGAAAAACAACTGACCTGCTAAAGCTACCACCCTAAGAGTTATCATAGGACTGTTCTCGTTTCGATACTGAACAAGGGTTTTGCCTTTTTGGCTTCTGAGGTGAGGCTTTTAAAAGTAAATATTGGTTGCTCTATGAGAAAACTCAAAATTTTTACGTTTCCATTTTAATGTAAACAAGCATAACTGTCAAATTTGATATTTTGCGCAACATGTGAAAGGGTTTGCTAAAAACATTATAGATAATAAAAATGTGATCATCTTTTAAGTAGAATACTCCAAATTTGTATAAAATATTTAAAATTTTAGGAATAAAAAACCACCGTATACGGTACATGAGTTAACATTCATTATATTTAAATAATGAAAAACAATATAATGGACTACTTTCAACGATTTATGGAATACTTTCATAAGCAGAGCAGTCTACGTTGTGATCTATAGGATAATTTATCATGGAAATTACCGCACCGGGCAACAACATAATGAATATTCCAAACAATGATACATTGGTATGTATTATTTGACAAACAAACATAACAAATCGAAAGAAAATTATTTACTATCTCTATATATTATATTCCACATCAGTAATTTCCCATGCATGATAATTTAATGTACACATTTTCTATCTATAGTTTTTTTCTAATCTTAAGTTTAATTACATTTTTGCATTCATAGTGTATTTTTTGCCTTTCTTTGTTTAGGTTGTGCTTTATTCCACCCCATTTAACCACGAATAGATCTTAACTTAACACTGTGTTTACCAGAACGTGTAAACGTATTTAAGTAATAGTAGTGTCATAGCCATTGTATAGTTTTTTTTTCAGGACAATTTAGCACTACTGTAACAGCTTTAAATAGCTTTGGCATGACGGGGAAATGAATGTTAATGCATATAATTAACTAAGGGAAACGGGCGATAAGAACTAAGAAGTAATGTTAAAGCATCATAATTCTAACTCTCCGATGTTAGTCAGTTAAAATTATTTACTTGTAATCTTATGTCTGGACTGCAATACAGTACCACAAAAATAAAATAAGAAAACTGTTAATTAAAGAAAACTACTTACCAAGGCAGGCTTTCAAATATTAAAATGTCCCTATATTCTTTACTGACAAATTTATTTAAGGTAGCCATTAATAGCTATGACTAAAAGCTTTGATACATTTAAGCAAAAAATTGACCATTTTAATGTTTGAAGATAATGTACATCCCTACATCCCTATATGATTATTTTAATTTTAGGCTGTAAACCCTTCTTAATTTAAAACAATATAGAAATATAAGTAACTTTTGAGGTATTGAAAACCGGGAATTGTTGTTCGTTAGGTTACAATTAGGAGAAATGGGATTAATTAGGGATGGACTAGAAAGAAGGACAGGTATGAATAAACTAGGTGAAAATAAGAAAATAATATAGGATGGTGCAATTTCACCAAAAACATTTAAAACATTGAGTTTAAACATTCAAAACATATCTTACAAGTTATGAAAAAGATTTTCATTTGAAATGGAAATAGAAACGGCGAAATGAATACAGTATAAGGAAAACATATGATTGCTTATCACTTGAATTTATAACACTTTGAATTAAAAATCCACACGCAATTATTACGAGTATTTTCAATTTGAAAATTCAATTTGTCTTGCGTGCTTAAAATATAAAATGATATATACAATTGTTTATAAAACACGACAATATCTCTCGTTATGTAGTTAACCTATTATACGGAAGCGGGTAGGTAATATAGGAAACATTCCATTATGTTAACCGCCCCTAGCGATTGTCTGGGGATTGTTAACCGTGGTATCAGCCTGGCTTGCATGTGTGACGCCGCGGATTACCATATTATCGCATGCGACTTTTGCACCTCCAAGCATTTTTGCAAGACGTAAATTCTTTCTTGGAGAACATTTGGGGTTGACTCACTGCTGGTATGTTTATTGTATATGAAAATTAGATAACGTAAAATCAGTAGGTGTATTATGGGTTTGTATTATTTGATGTTCAAAAAGATCGGGTGATTGTTTTATACTTAAAAACGAATGTTTTGATTTATTAGGTTAATGGCGAGAAAAGTAAGACAAATTTTTGTAACTGCAATGTGTCTAATGTCATTGCTGGCGTAATCAGTAAATATTTAGTTTACCCGAAGTTTTCGTGAATCGTGTAATTATTGTATTAGTTCGTTTTTATACTACTTTTTTTTAAGAGTGCAAATAGTTGGACAATTAGATAACACTTGTAATAATTTAATCATTTACTGACTAGAATTAGGTTAAAAGTTGGATTGGATTCGAATAAAGTTCAGATGTATGTCAAGTTTTGTTCTGAATTTATACCAAACTGTATTCTTTACACAGTAGGAGAATAAGTGGAATACTAAACCATGCCCCTTATTTGGTTTAATAGATGAGTGAACGAAGTGAACGAATCTATGTATCGTATATAGCGGAGTCGGAGAAAAGTTGTCCGCTGGAGTATGTGTGTGTGTGTGTTCGCACCTAAAACTCAAGAACCGTTGCACTTATAGCGTTCAAATTTTGCACAAATAGTTTTGACACCAGTGTAAAGACACCATTAAAATTCTAGACGATTCCGCTCAGTAGTAATTATAAAATACTTAAAAAACATTTTTAAATTTGTCCCATAAGAATAACATTAGGAGCTACCTTCTTCTTCTTTTGATTTGTTTACGTTTTGCGACCAACAATTTTGTTGTCTACTTAAGACAGAGAGAACGACTTTTACTCTAAGCTCTTTCTTTCATGGAGTAAACAGTTTGGCGTCTATGAATATATATCATTATAATTTCACAGCTTTCAGAATAATGTTATTTAAGCTAATTAAATCTCACAACTTTAATAATAATAAATTGAACTTAACAATATTAGTCGGCAGTTATATACCGTTTATGTTCAGTATTAAAATTTCGCCTTTTAATTAATTTTAAACAAAGCAGCTTTTTACATTATTCAATTTAATGTTGGCATTGAATATTAAATATTCAAAAAATGTTGGTATATTTTTATACTAAAATGCTATGCGAAGGGGGGGGGGACAGGTCTCCGACGTAGAGAGTAGTAAAGAAAGCGGAAAGGTGAGCAGTGAAAAGAAAGGAGTACGGAAACCCTTTATGTTAACCCTTTAAATTAACGTATCTGTAATCTATGGTAATACTTAAATGCTATGGAAAGATAGGGAAACAGGTCTACGATGTAGGAAGTAGTGAAGGAAATAGTGAAGGAAGTAGTCAAGGCGAGCGCTGCGGAGTGTGGGGGGCCTTTATGACAGTTAGAATAATGTATCTGCAATTCTAAAAATGCTATGGGAAGGGAGAGAAACAGGTCCACGATGTAGGAAGTGGTGAAGGAAGTAGTCAAAGTGAGCAGTCCGGAGTGTGGGAAGCCTTTGTGACAATTAGAATAATGTATCTGCAATTCTAAAAATGATATGGGAAGGGAGGGAAACAGGTTCACGACACTTAGGAAGTGGTGAAGGAAGTAGTCAAGGCGAGCATTCCGGAGTGTGGGAACCCTTTGTGGCAGTTAGATTAATGTATCTACCATAATAAAATGCTATAGGAAGGGAGGGAAACAGGTCCACGACGTAAGAAGCGGTAAAGGAAGTAGTCAAGGCGAGCAGTCCGGAGTGTAGAAACCCTTTGTGGCAGTTAGATTGATATAACTGCAATTCTAAATTCCAATAGGAAGGGAAGGAAACAGGTCCACGACGTCGGAAGCGGTGATGGAAGTAGTCAAGGCGAGCAGTCCGGAGTGTAGAAACCCTTTGTGACAGTTATATTAATATACCTGCAATACTAAAATGCTATAGAAAGGGAGGGAAACAGGTCCACGACGTAGGAAGTGGTAATGGAAGTAGTCAAGGCGAGCATTCTGGAGTGTAGAAACCCTTTGTGGCAGTTAGATTAGTGTAACTGCAATTCGAAAATGCTATGGGAAGGGAGGGAAACAGGTCCACGACGAAGGAAGCGGTGATGGAAGTAGTCAAGGCGAGCAGTCCGGAGAGTAGAAACCCTTTGTGACAGTTAGATTAATATACCTGCAATACTAAAATGCTATAGGAAGGGAGGGAAACAGGTCCACGACGTAGGAAGTGGTGAAGGAAGTAGTCAATGTGAACAGTCCGGAGTGTCGGAAGCCTTTGTGACAATTAGAATAATGTATCTGCAATTCTAAAATCCTATGGGAAGGGAGGGAAACAGGTTCACGACACTTATGAAGTAGTGAAGGAAGTAACCAAGGCGAGCATTCCGGAGTGTGGGAACCCTTTGTGGCAGTTAGATTAATGTATCTGCCATAATGAAATGCTATAGGAAGGGAGGGAAACAGGTCCACGACGTAGGAAGCGGTGATGGAAGTAGTCAAGGCGAACAGTCCGGAGTGTAGAAACCCTTTGTGACAGTTAGTTTAATATATCTGCAATACTAAAATGCTATAGGAAGGGAGGAAAACAGGTCCACGATGTAGGAAGTGGTAATGGAAGTAGTCGAGGC